TGTAGACTTAGAACAAGCGGAAAGAATCCGAAAAGGGAAGATTCAAGTGTTTTAGGGGATTCAACCTTGGATTCGAGGTAGGTGATGGTTGTGATTTCATGTTGGTGTGATATATGTTATAATGCATGTATATATGTGAATGTTGCATTATTGATTACACTAATCGTAAATGAGGATAATTGAATAATTGTATGTCATGAATCACCTTTTATTGTATGATTGTGAGAATATACATTGTGATTGTGATTGTGGTTTGTTGAATGGGCGGGTGTCACGATTCGACACACTAACTGGGATCGGTTGCCACATTCCGGCATAAATATGGGATTGGTTGCCACGTTCAGGCATAAATATGAGATCGGTTGCCACGTTCCGGCATAAAATGGGATCGGCTGCCACGTTTTGGCACACTAACTTGGATCGGATACCACAAACCGGTATGCTAACAGTTTGGGTTTGGGTTCCATGAGAGGACCATTGAATTGTGTTGTGTGTATACTTGTGATGGTTACGTTCATATCTAATGATGATTGATATCAGAATACTGTATGTTGCTCTAAATTGATCTTGAAAAGAGGACTAATATTGTATATGTTTAGTATATGTCTGTTTTATAATGTTGTGGTTACTTGCATATGTTTCACCTATTGGGATAGCCGCGTGATCCTACCAGTACATTGTGGTTGTGTACTGATACTGCACTTGCTCTTTCTTTGTTGAGTACAGGGCATCTTCTGGTAGCTATTGATATACTTCAGTTAGGTGACTAATGAGCGTGACCGGATTCAAGGGTGAGCCAGTTCTTTCAGGCTTCCATGGATCTCTCTTATTTAAGTCCACTCTTTCGGACTCAGACTATTGGTTAAGTTGTTGTTTAGTTTCAGGGTTGTACCCCTTGTTTTTAGACTTGTGGTTAGTAGAGTTTTAGTACAATGACTTTTAGGTTCTAGGTATTTAATTCTGCATTTGTTTAGTTAATTAACTTGCTTCCGTAACTTAATTGCCTTGGTTTTCATAAAATTTATTTGTTTGGGTTGTAGTAATGGTTCTCCCACTGGAGGGTTTGTGTGGGTGCCAATCACGACGGTTTGGGTCGTGACAAATTCAACTCCTAAAAACAACAAATGCTAATGTTTTTCCTTTTATTCTTTTTGTTTTCAATTTCCCATTTAAAATAACATAAAAGTTTCAAACAATTGTGATTTATAATATTTTCCCCAAACAATTGTGATATAAATAGTTGTGAATTGTGATTATAAATTTATACTACTTCATCGAGTTATGCATTAATAATTTTATAAACGGATTTCATTGTTGTTTTAGATAGGATAATAAAGTGGATTTATTTTTATAGGTTTTTAAAAAATAAATTATGAAATATATATTATACTTCATGTTTATGATAAAAACATATTCAAAACATAAATTATATTCCAAATATTCATTGGCAAAAATGAGTCAAAACTTAATTTCTTCTTCAAATAAGATTTCCTTTTTTCCTTTTCCTTTTTAAAAAATGGGAATTTATTTCCAAAGAGTAACATTTGTTATTTAAAAATGACGTGAAAAAGTACTATAAATCACAATAATTAACAACTTGAAATATTTGAAAAACACATAACAAATTTGACTCGACTCTCGAAATTCTATCAATACCACATAAATTGGGACAAAAGGAGTAACATATAGTATTATTTAAAAATTACTACAAATTACAATAATTAATAACTTAAATATGTAAAAAATTATATTAAAATTTGATTAACCCTCTAAATTTTATCAGTGTCACATAACGTACTAGCAAGGGCTCCAAGGTGACTATGGTCACTTCTTGATTATTATTATTTTATCTTTAAAAAAAAAAAAAAAACTTACCAAATTTTATTAAATTAACTTAGAGTTATTTATTAAAACATTGACTAATGAGTACTTTCTAACAAGAAACCTTAGTTATATAAAAACAGTATATGTATAATGATTTAGTATCAATAAATTGAAATTATTAATCTTAATAATATTAATACAATATATGATATTGATTTAACATTAGTTAAACGAAATTAGTTGAGGAATATATATATAAAATTTAATTATTTAGTGGGGGTATGAATGCATATGAGTATATATTTGTAGTTATTGTGTTTTTATGGAGTATTTGCTTAGTTTTTCCTTTTTGTTTTGCTTGTCCTTTTCTAGTTATTACCCCATTCAATTTGCTTTTGTGAAGTTTGTTTTTGTTTTGCTATAAATGGTGGCCTTTGCCACGTTTAGTAATTATTGCCCCATTCAATGCGAACCTTAAAACTGAAAGTGAGAAAGCAAAAAGTTTTGCATAATAAAACGATAATTAAGTGTAACGAGTCAAATTTTTAATACTCAGAAATTTAGTGGATAAATAATAAATAAAATGAAATAAAAATAACCAAAAAAGGAAAACTTGTCAAAAAAGGAGATAAAATATAAACAAATTTACTGGCCTTTGAAGCATACCTCTAGGCTCTAAGTTTAGGTTTAAAAAATATATATAAATATAGATGATAGATATATAGATATAAATTCTTCCTGGAAAATGGATAATTCTAGAGAGTGTATTTAAAAATGAATAATTATGAAAAAGTGTATAACAATATACCCAATTATGTTCAAATTTATAGGTTGCCCAAGGGAACATTATTAATTTTGGCATTCGCCGCTAATCATGGCTGACCCGTCAAACGTGTTCTATCCAACTCAATTTTTTTTTGTTGGTGAAAATTGCAGAAAACACTTTTTTTTTCGAAATAAAGAAAAGTAGAAAATACATCGAAAATTTCGGAGGGGAAACTTTTAGGTAGGGGTGGGCATGGTATGGTATGGTACAATATTTGAAAGTTTTGATATTCTAATTTTGGTATTCGGTTTTTAAAATATTATATCATTATCATACCAATTTAATTTTATATGGTTCGTTATATTGAAGTTCGGTTTTGGTATTCTACAATATGGTAAATCGGTAACCATAATTTGTTCAACTTCGACTAATATATACTCGTATAATAGAGTATTATGACTTCAACAATTAAAAAAGGGTCTCAATTGTATCATACTAACACATTAACATGTAGAAATATACATGCAAAGTAAAGTACATACAACTCCTTTTGTTAATCAATTACAATTCAAATATATTTCAATCAAAATAGAGTAGTCAAAGTTTCAACTTCTAAACATTTAGTTTATACAGATATTAGGTTGCATATTTATTAGTATTTTAATAATAATAATAATAATATATTTATGTAACTATATACTTCGATATGGTATTCGGTATTTCGGTACGTCATTTCTAAATACCAAATACCATACCGAATATCAAACAAATTTATAATGTATACCATATACCATACCAAATATACTAAGATTTTAATTTTAATGACTTAACTAATATACTAAGATTTTCATCTCGTACTAAAAGTTATATTCTTCATTTGTGATATTCCCTTCTTGTTTTTTTCATCTCATATTTTCAAGTACGTCACTAAAAAATCCGTACAAACCCATAATAATAATAATAAAATAAATAAAAAAAAGGTGAAACGTGGGTTGTAGAGTGGTAGGGCCTTCTACATACAGACTACGTTATTTAAACATCACATGCACCACAAATTTGTTTTGAGAATTTAGCATTCACCATTTGCTAAGAGAGAGCTACATGCAAAAAGAAGTACAAATAGTGCAATAAAACAAGAGACAGGTTTGATCTGTTTGCATTTAAAACTTTCTTTACTTACTAAAAGATTTAAACTTTGAACCTATTATTGTTTAGGTTTGTTTTTTTCGTGTGTTTTTCTGTTGAATAAAAAATTATTGGAACCTAGAGTTAGATATTTGTGTGAAGTGGGAGATTTTGTTAAAGGTGTTTAAGATTTTGTATATATGTATCAAAACTAATTTTTGACCCATAAATTTTGAATAATTTTCAATATAAATGATATATTATTTCGAGCAGATTGTTGAGGTGTTTCACAGAGCTAGTATGGATCCACCTGAGCTATACAGCATCTTACATGACTACGTTGAATTGTTTCTCAGTGTGATGTTGTGAGTTGTTACATGAAGACCTTTTGGACTTGGTACTCAGTCGATGAATACTCAGGTCCAATTTGTCACGCTAGGCTATATGTGGCTACGCCACTGGTGTTAGAGTTGTTGGTCGACAAAGTAATGGTGGTAATTTACTATGGTGTTAGGGTTCTTGGTTGTCATAAAGTTATGATCCTAATGGATTGATGGTTGGTGTAAAGGGCCAAGCCCTCATGCACTTATTCATTGTTGGAATTGATTGGGTTGGTCTTGGATCGGACCTTAAAATAAATATATGTATAATTAAAACTTATTTTACTGTTTAATTCATTTTCATTTATCAGGCACCGCCGGATTCCAGAATGTCAAGCTTACCACCGGATTACAGAAAGTTGCCAGTGGAAAAAGTCACTGTGCCAAGTTTTTCATTGCCTGAAGATCGCCACCTGTGTAAAGATAAATTCTTCAAGGACAGCAAAGTAACTCTTTTTACTCTTGAATATTTCATTTTCATTTTTCTTACTCCCTCCGTTTAAAAATACAAAATAAAAACTTGCTAGTTTGACTATATACATTATCATATCACTTATAGCTTATGGAAAGGGATAATTTATTTCGATACTAATGATAAGTTATTCTGAATTAGATAATTTATTTTGATACTAATGATAAGTTATTCTGAATTGACCTATCTAACATTATATTATATGGCACCAGTGACTTTTTGAGATATTTATTCTCAAAATACTAATGAGAAGAATTAACACAATTAATTTTAGGAAAAATGAAGTTATTTTATTGCTATTATTACTACGTGGGTTTTGTTGCTATATTACTTGTGAGGCATTTTGGTAATTCATTTAGTTGTAAATACTTATAGAAATGAAGAAGCAAATGCAACAAAAGGAAAGAAAAAAAAGAGGAGGTGTTACGTTATCTTGTATGTGTCAAATTTTATATAAAGAAATTATGTTATTTTATTGCATATATAATGAATGATGAATAAATTAATGACAATAATTTTTGAGTTTTTAAATTGAAAATGAGATATGTAACTAAAAGATAAGTTTTAGATTTTCTAATATATCATAAATAGCAATAAGTAAGACTTAGATTTATACGCTTGTAATAATCTTCGTTCTTAGCTTGGAGGAAGATTCACTTTCCCTTTCTAGATTAGTTTTTTAGTTGTCCTTTCTATTTTTATTTTTAATTATTTTGTCTTGGGCCTTTTTTTTTTAATCAAATTTTGGACCGTGGTCCATTTTATTCATAAAGGTCTATGGACTCAAATGCAGCCCATTTAGGAAAACACAAAAAATAAAGCAAAATATACAGTAATCGGTCCAAAAGTGACCGATCTACAGACAACAAAAACAAAGCCCCTAGAAATGAGGATTTCCTAAAGTGGTATCTATTCTCTTCCTCCTCCCTTTTTTGATGTTTCAGCCGCAAGCCATATCCCATGGCTGCCTGATCTGAGTATCGTCATCCTTCTTAGCTCCATGTAAGCACCCTTCTTTTCTCCCTTTTTTAAACTTCTGCTCTTCTTCTGATCATGTCTCCTTCGCAGTTGTACCCAAAATTGGGATACCCAGATTGCTCCCTCATAACTTCCTAATTTTCTCCTAGCTGTGTACCAAGGCTTCTTTGCAGATCCGGTTTCATGATTCTCGCTTTGTACTGGTGAACGCATGATTCTTTGTTGGCTGTTAATTTGTATTTGCGTAGCTAATTTACCCCTGCCATTTCTGTAAACGTAATAGCTATGTGAAACTGTATTCATTCCTTCACCCCTCATGTTGATGATTGCTTGTATTAGTGATTCTCCTTGTTCTTATCCTGATTGCTGATATCTGTTGCTTGTCTATATTAAGTATTTTTCTTTGCCTTGATTGGTAGTTCGTAGAAACTTGCATACTGCTGCTTGTCTTCATGATTGATGGCTATGTTTGTAATGCAGTCCGCTAGTTGATTTCCTTCTCTATATATATGCACATACTGAATATTTAGTATATTCATAATGTCTTGTATCTCCTCTATTCTTTCTATTAGAGTCCAACGTACTTTCCAGTTCCGCCTTATCATATTCTTAAGACTTAAAGAATCTGTCTCTAATATGATATGTGTGATACCTATGTTGTAATGCTTTCCAAATTGCTGTTGTTTCTGCCTCCATGTTTGTGGTGATGCCTATGTTCTGTGCTTCTGCGTAAACCAAATCTCCCTTGTTATCTCTAATACAGAAGCCATAGGAGCTTTCCCCTGGATTACCTCTGCTTGCCCCATCCGTGTTACATTTAAACCATCCCTCCTCAGGTACCGACCACTTTACTATATGGAAATAAAGAGTAGGTCTATACTGTTGAAGAAGAACAAACATTCCATTCCAATTATAAGGAACATTTCTTAGCCATGGGTAGTTGGCTTTAATCAATTGATGTACTGTCAGCAGACATTGAGAGTACATTTTATTGAATGAAATTTCCTTGTCATGTCTCTTTGCGTTCCTTCTTTTCCACAATTCCCACATGATTATGTGGGGTATTGCCTTCATTATGTGTTGTACCTTAGGATTAGCATCAAATTCCCACCATTGGAGAATCAATTGGTGCAAATGTTGTCCTTCTATGTTGATACGTGCACATGTAGCAAATAGCTTCCATAGCCTTTGAGCTATGGGAGCTGTTAGTAATAGATGTTGCATGGTTTCCATTTCCCCTCTCTCACAACAGTAGCGTTTAGAGACTATATCATTCGCATTCTTCTTAGATTATCATCAGTGGCAATTCCTTTTTTCCAGACTTTCCATAAAAAAAAAAAGAGATCTTTAAAGGAAGCTTTTTGATCCATATGTTCCTGCAGTAGTCAATTTGCTCTCTTTTATGCCTTACCAAGTGAAAGGCAGATTTGACTGTGAAATTCCCAACTGAGCTTCCCATCCACCATGCTTTATCATTCATCTCACTTGTGCAAGGTAATACGTTAATGACTATGTGTTCTGTCATCTCTTCTGAGAGATAGTTTCTGAGCTTTTCTCTTTTCCATGAACCTTCCTCAATGAATTCTTTCACTTCAATTTCCTCATCCCTGGCAGATTCTCCCTCAGTGTAAAACAAAGTACCTTGTTTTGTCAAATTATCAAACCAGAAACTAGATGTGCCTGCTTTTAATTGCCACCAAATCTCATGTTCTACTTCTTCCCTAATGGCTACCATTTTTTTCCAAACATGAGTCGCGCCAACACTCCTTGAAACTATGGGATGTCGCTTTTTGCAATACTTGTTACCCATGTAATTGCTCCATAGTGATGTGGATGTCCTAAAATTCCACCATAGTTTCGCAAATAAAGCATTATTTACTGCATGTAGGGACCTGAATCCCAGTCCTCCTTCCTTCTTGGGAATGCACATGTCTTCCCATGCTACCCAATGTTTTCTTTTCAGGCTCCCAGTGCTTCCCCAAAAAAACTTTGCAAACATTTGATGGATCTGTTCTATTACATTCTTGGGTGGGTTCATTGCTGAGAGTAAATACACCGGCATGGATTGTAGATAATGACATACTAATGTGTATTTTCCTCCAAAAGTTGATAAACGATTTTGTCATGAAAGAATCCTCCTTGCTATCTTTCTTATAAACTCTTCAAAATAACTTTTGAGTTTCCTGCCATAGTAAATTGGGCACCCAAGGTATGTGAAAGGGAAATTTCCTTGCGTTATCCCTGTGAGTCTTCTCATCCTTATTGCCACTATCAGTGGTGTTTTATCATGAAGATAAAATGAGCTCTTTGATTTATTTACCATCTGACCAGATATTCTCTCATAGTCTCTTAATACCACCATCATCTTCACTATTGATGTTCTATCCCCAGAACAGAATAGAATAGTATCATCCGCGTAGGACAAATTTAGATCCAGGTGGTCTTTTTCTTTTGTTGTAGATGTCTTTTTATTCTAAAGAAAATCATGATCCAGTAAGGTAATTGGAATTTTTTTAAAAACAAAATGAAGAAGAAAAATCTCAAAATTTTGGAAATAAAAAATATAAATGTCATTTTTTATTTTAGAGACATGCCAATGATGCATGATACAAACCATTATATGCTTTGGTAATGTATAGCTTGATAAACCTAGTAGTAATGTAATCTTTGAGATGGTGTGAGATTTGCTAATGTACAGGTTTTAATGTAGTGTAATTGGTCTTGGGTGGGAAAGCGTTGTTTGAGTTCTGTGGAAGATCAGGGAGATTGTCGTAAGTTTGATAAACTTAACACTTGCATTTCCCATTAACATATTTTGTCCATGATCTTATAGTTTTTGTGTTTGTGTCATTCTTTTGCTCTTAAAAGCGACATGTTGGGCTTTTGTCGCAGCGGAAGCCATTTCCGCTTTATATCATATCAAGTTCAACAAGGAGAAATTTTTGTCAAAAAAACATGTCATTGATGACTTGTTTACTGTAATCAAGGAGCCAAAAGAAATCCAATACCATAAAGCGACAGGATGTTTCCCTAGTCATTACAATAATTACTTTCAATATGCAATTGAAAAAGGTGTTTATCCTGATAAGCCATATCCTTATCTTGCTGAGAGGGGAGAATGTCTTGAGCTACCTAATGAGGTAACCAGATGATATTAGATTTATTGTTCTCTTTTTTGGTTCAATATATTTTGCAAGATATATACTACTATATAATAGTAATAGAAAAATGTATCTTAATAGATACATATGTTGGTCTGTGTTATATCTTCTAATTGGTGCAGGAAAAAACCAAAATTAAAGCGTATAAAAAGGTTAATGATCTTGGTTTGGATAAAAAAAGCATTGAAGAGCTAATCCAGAAGCAACCCATTTGTGGATCTGTAAAGTTGGCGAAGAACTTTCAGAAGCATAAAGGAAAGGTAAATTATGCTTCCCCTAATCAAGTTATTGTTTCTTATGCTTGTTTAATCCACGTTTTTTAATTTTTAATTCATTTATTTTGATAGGATATTTACATGGGTCAAACAAAAGAAGAAATTTACTCTGAAGCAAGTAAAAATAATCAATCCAGAGGGCGCCATGCAGTGTTAATTATTGGTTTCGGAATTGAGAACGGCATCGAGTATTATTTGATAAAAAATAGCTGGGGAGTAAATTGGGGATATTTGGGTTATGCTCGGGTTGAGAGAAGGCTCGTTACGAGCTTGTCTTTTCCAGTGCTTCATGAGTAGATAGTTCTTATTCGCAGCTGGGATATGCTTTAAAGTCCAACTATCTTTTAATGTTGTTTTTGCTAATGTTGTTGTTTCTTCACAATTTTGACTTTGCAATGATGAATTTGTTATCTTTTTATATGTGTCGTGTGTAAAGCATCTCACATAAAGTTACAACAGTTATTTTTTGAAAATAGCAAAATTTTATAAAAGTTTGTTGTACTCCATGCATATGACATCTATTTAGTGTGATATATAAAAGTGGAAATGGTCTGATGGACCCTTCTACTAGTATGCAAATGTATTATGAACCCTTTTTGTTTGACTATTTGTCAACTGAACATTTAAACTCAATGAAATTTTATGTTTTAAACTCTTCTAACCGTTGACCAAGCTTATGTGGCAACTTAATTATTGAGTTGGCACAAATGTGTGATGTCACACATAGAAGGAGCGTGAAAGATCACATTTTAGAATAAAAATAATTTTTTTTCTTTTTAAATATAGAATAAAAAGATCAAAATTTAGAATTTTTTTTTTTTCCAGTTCTTTCTTCTTTTCCATCCCTCCCCATTTCTTTTTTTTCTTTATACTCTCAAACTTCCATTTCTTTTTACTCTCAAACCTTTTATATGATTAGTTTCATTGAGTTTAAGGGTTCAATTGACATATGATCAAGTAGAATGGTCCAGAATACAAACACATACAAGTAGAAGGGTCTATCAGACCATTCCGCCAAAATACTATGACAAAAGTAGATTGTACCTCTAATTGTGAGTTCCAGCTAATTTTTTTTTTTTTCATAATTTCCGTTAAATCTGTTAGACGTAGTTCTGTAAACACTTAACAAAGACTAAAAGTGTTATTTAACGATAATTCAAATTCAAAGAAACAAAACTTTTTAGTGCATACTAAAAGAAACTAAATTCAACCAACACTCAAAAGTCAAAACATAAAGCACCTTTTTTGTCATTTTTTTCAGTGTTTTACGGTTGATTTTTGAAATGACAAAACTAACCTCATATATTTGGACTAGACTCGAAATGATTTCTTAATATATTTTGAACGACTTCTTTCCTTTATGTTTGCAGAAATTGAGCAATTTTGAGCGTTGTTAATAATTTAACAAGTTTTGTAACAGAAAAAAATATAAACTTATTTTTAGAGGTGCAATTTCTTTCATTTTCGTGTCTGGTGCAGTTTTTAAAGGTATTGTTTATGCTGCTTTTTATCCATTTTTATGTCTAGTGCAAATTTGTTGCAATTTTTAAGATTCGACAACTGCGTAAGATTTTTCGCGGTGTCACTTTTAAAATGAGAAAATAAATAAAATAATATAAGCCATATTTTAAAAATAAAAAAACACAATTCATGTATATTATTATAATTTTTTCTAAAAAAATAAAATAAAAAACACATAAAAAAAGAGGCAATGTGGGATTGAACACACAACCTAGCCTAAATAATTTCAGCAGAAAACAGACTAAGCTACACGCTTCTATTGCTCAAGTAGTCACTTATTTTATATATATACACCCTTTATGATTGCTTTTGTTTCATAACCGTATCTACCTATATAGCAATTTTTTCCGACGAAGCAGTGTCACGTGACACTCTTCCCCCTCCTAAATCCGCCTCTGTCGATAAAATTTCATGATAATTCTGGTGAGTCTTATAAATGGCACAAGCCAACAGATCTTGATATTTTTAGGGAATTTTACAAAAAAAAAAATAGTGTTAAGAGCTAATTATATCCTGGTCCTATCTGTATTTTTTTTTTAATTACAAAAATTCCTTAAATTTGGTGGAATTCGGATACATCTCAAAACGTCCTGATACATCACGTTCTGATTTCAAATACATCACTTAACATCCTGATACATCGCGTCTTGGTTTTGGATACATCGCTCAAAATCTCGATACATTGTGTACATCATAGGTGATGTATCCGATCGATACATCATGTAAACTGATGTATTACGTCCCGATACATCGCGTATATTGATTATCCAACTGATACATCACGTAAAGTTATTACGTCCCAATACATCGCGTATAGTGATGTATCCGACTGATAAATCATGTAAAGTAATTTATTATGTCCCAATACATCACGTATAGTGATGTATCCGACTGAAAGTGATGTATCTAAAAATAAGAGAAGGTATAGGTTTTTTGTAAAAAAAATTAAAAATATGATAAAATAAATTATGTATTAGATATTTTTTCCTTATATTTATGTGGTTTTTTTTTTTTATATATATATATATATATATTACTATATATAATAAGTGGGAATATCTACTACTTAGCACATGACAAGTGTTGGAAGATATGTGCTTGATAGTGTTGTACATTTTTCTTTTATGGTTGTACCTTTAAAATTTATATTATTGGA